CAGACATAAGATTTTTTACTATTTTTCTTGTTTCCCCTTTTTGTCTGTAACCTATTTTCATTAATTTGTTGTTTGTTTTTCTAAAGGAAGCGTTCTAGGTGGGGTCTAGTCTGGATCAGGAAGTGCTTGGGACCAGCTGTGGCGTGGATGGGCCGTGCCCTTGGAGAAGACTGAGGACATCGTTTGGGACCAGCTTTTCTTGTGGCAGCGGATGGTGTGAGGTGGGTCCTCATCTCCTTGGCATGGCTGGGACAAGAGCTTTTGGGAGATGGCAGCGGGCACAGGAGCATCCCGCTCTGGGCAGCTGCTGAGGGGCTGGATCTGCCGTGGCTGGCTGCAGGCTGGGCACATGTCCTGCCCTCCTGCTCTGCTCCCCAAGGCAGCAGTGATGGGCAGCTTTGGGCCCAGCTCTGAGCACGGCCAGCATGGCCTGGGCACCGCGGCTGGCTGGGACAAGGGGACAGGAGCCTTCAGCTGACGGGCGGTTTCTGCTTTCTCTCCTTGCAGCCGGGCTCTGCGGATGCTGAGGCTGCTCTGGGCTCTGCCAGGGCTCTGCTGGGCTCAGCACCGGGCCGGGATCAGCCAAAGAAGAAACGCTGTGACCTGCAGCAGAGACTTGAGCATTTTGGCAATGCAGCTCAAGTCTGCAGAGTGTCCACCTCCAAGGGAAAACATGACACCTCCCAAAAATTAAACTTGTTCCATAACTTCTGAAATGAAATCCATCTGGGATGACCCCAAATGACATTTTTCATCTTGCTCAAGCTGTAGCTCAGCTCTTCTCTGAACAGTTCTCTCCCCCACCTGCCTTTTACTTCACAACTGCTCCCTCCTTTCCCCCAGTGAGTTCCCAGCCCATCACAGTCTCCATCACACTGCAGCCTTCCTTGATGCCACTCACCACGAGGAAGGCCAAGCCCCAGTCTCAGGGACTCATCCTGTCACTGGCTGAAGAACAGCAATGTTTCAGAAGTCTGGTGGGAGTTTAGTGTCTTTCAGAGCTGCTCTCCAGCCCTCAGGTCTCTCCCTTTTCCTCATCCATCAGGATGAGCTCCGTGAATCCCCTTGTGATAAATGGAAATGATTTGTGCTAACTAAATTGTAACTGTTTGGAAAGTTATTATTTGAAATTAGTTATTATTAGAAGCAATCAAGGGAATTAGTGTTACAAGGCAGATGTACCCCTCTACAGATGTTACATGTTAAAATTAAGATAGAGGATGTAGTTTTGAGATAAGTAATGTCCCAAGAGAAAATTGACCATGAGATGGATAAAGTTGGAATGACTTTAGGCACAGGACCTGAACATTATGAAGGGTAAGACTAATTAGTGGAGCACGATGCTCACTTACATAACACAATGTTTAGTATGCACACACAGCCTGTAAGATTATCCAGAGGACAACGAGGATAAGTGTAAGCCTTCATCAAAAGACCACCAAAAGAAGACTGAAGACCCCCTAGCAACAAGTGAAACATGCACCATGAAGAATAGTAATGTAAAATTAAAGCATCATAAATTGGAGGAGACTTACTGGAAACATGAATGAATATAAGCATACAGTATATAAGTTTAGTTTGAATTGCTTTGTTTTGTACCTGAGGCAGGGTGAGAAGCCCTCCCTGTACCCCGGTCAGTCTTGCTTATGCTTTAATCATACTTAATTACTGGCAAGCTATATTCATATATATGTATATATATATTTTCATATATATATATATGTATATATATATGAATATATTCTCTAAATTGTACTCTTTTACTAAATTGTATTCTTTCTATATCAAATTGCTATTTAATCCACTAAATTGTATTCTTTTATTAAATTGGATTCTTGTATTCAATTCACTAAATGGTATAATTTTTTTTCTTGTTATTAAACTGCTGTTAATTTAATAGCCCTAGCTGTCCAAATTTCTATTTCATTTATGACACTTCCCTTGGGTGAGTTACAGCCACAGCGAGAGGGAGGAGGAGATGATCCCACCCATGGCTGCTGCTGGCTCCAGACATTTGCTGAGATAAAGCTGAGCCAGAGCTTCAGCATCTCCCCCAAAATCACAGAATCACAGAATGCCTTGGCTTGGAAGGGACCTTAAAGTTCATCTCATTCCACCCCCTGCCATGGCAGGGACACCTTCCACTATCCCAGGCTGCTCCAAGCCCCGTCCAACCTGGCCTTGGACACTTCCAGGGATCCAGGGGCAGCCACAGCTTCTGTGGGCAAGCTCTGATCTCTGCCCAGGTGAGCAGGGACAGGAGCCGAGGGAACGGCTGGAGCTGGGCCAGGGCAGGGCTGGGCTGGAGATGAGCAAAAGCTTCTTCCCCCCCAGGGGGCTGGGGCAGTGCCCAGGCTCCCCAGGGAATGGGCACGGCCCCGAGGCTGCCGCAGCTCCAGGAGCCTTTGGCCAGCGCTGCCAGGGATGCACAGGCTGCGATTGTTGGGGTGTCTGTGCAGGGCCGGGGGCTGCACTCCATGATCCCAATGGGTCCCAGATGCCAGCTCAGCCCCTTGTGCAACTCTCACCCTTGGGCTCAGCCTTTGTGTCCCCTGGAGGCGCTGGCAGAGCTGATGGGGTGGGGCAGGAGCGGGGCAGCCCCAGCGTTCCCCTGGCAGTGCCAGCACAGCCGGGCCAGCAGCCCCAGCGTTCCCCTGGCAGTGACAGCACAGCCGGGCCAGCAGCCCCAGCGTTCCCCTGGCAGTGACAGCACAGCCGGGCCAGCAGCCCCAGCGTTCCCTCCCTGGAGACGCTCCAAGGGAAGCGGCCAGAGCCGCGTCCAGTCAGCGGAACTGAGCGGCCACTGAGCACCCCCGGCCTGGGCTGCTGTGGATTCCTCTGCACACAGCTCGGGGAAGGTGCCCTTGGCCACCCCCACAGTGCCACAGACAAGTGTCACACACAGTTACAGAGCTCTGCCCACAGCTCACAGGGGGAGATAATTTAAAAAAACAAACAAGCACAGCGCCGGGAAGGTCTTTGTGCACCGAGGCTTTGCTGCAGCCAAGGAAAGCTCCTGGCTCAGGGTCACCTTTCCTGCTCGGCCAGAGCCCCGAGTGCCCCAGCAGCAGCAGCAGCAGCAGCAGCAGAGAATGGCAGCATTGCCACGGGCTGGCTCAGGAAGGGGAGATTTCCCCCTGGAGAGAGGCTCCTCTGCCAGGTTTTGCATTCAGGCAGCTGCAGATCCCTCAGCTCTGGGTGCACAGCAGCTGGAAATGCAAGTGCAGGAGCTGTGTTCATGGCCAGCCCCAGCGGGTGACAGCAAGGCCAGGGCCCTGGCAGTGGGACATTTGCAGGGAGCGGCTGCAGCAAGCGCTGGGGGCTGGAAGTGTGTGCAGAAAACAGCCCGGGGGTCTCCGGCCCGAGGCCAAAGGAACAAAGTTTCAGTTCTGGCCTCCGCAGGGAGCACCAAAATGGTTCCTTTGCAGGGCGAGGTTCCACTGGCGGGTGTTGCAGGGCCCCCAGAGGAGAGCCCAGGGTGTCCAAAGTGCCTGGGCTGGAGCAGCTTTCTGTCCCGCTCCGGGGGCATTCCCGCGGCCTTGGGATCCCTGGGAAGGCGCAGGAGAGGCTGGAAGCCGTCGGTTTGTGGGTTTGGGGTTTGGATTGTTTTTTGTGGGGGGTGAGGCCGGTTGTGATTTTGGTGTTTTGTGGGGCTGGGGGAATGTTTTTTTGTGAGCTGTGCCCAGCGGTTTGCAGCCCCGCGGGTGCGGGGAGCGCTGGCGCAGGCCCGGCCCGGGCGGGGCGGCCCCGGGCGGGCTGTG